CATTTGTACGGGTTTAAGACATCCGTTTTTATATTACGTTGTATTCCATATGTTGAATATCCATATGCCGGTTATGCATAGCAGCTGAGAACGCGTTTGGAAAATAGCGTTCTCTGTTAAATACGCTTTTTATTTGGGAAGGGAACCAGGCTTCTGCTAAAATGCATTGGCCATGAACGGAATCGTGTTTGGTGGGAGACATACTATACAGGCGCTTTCAGGTTTCCTTCATATTTCCGAGACAGGAAGTTGAATGAACGTCTTCGTGCGCCAGAAGAGAAGATGATTCTGGGAATTGTGTTCCACTGTTTCAACTCTCAACTTCCGACAGATTCAAGTCCGATAACAATCAGTGTTTTGAGATTCTGTGTCCTCTTTCTCGCCTGCATTCCTCTCCGACCCACATGCAAATTGCAATGTACCCACGGCGACGCTCAGTTTCTGTCAGTTGATTCAAAACGCATTAGCAGAAAGACATCCTGTTATGGCGCGTAAAGGCACGCCGTGGGTTGCGGGCCATGGACTGCAGACCCGTTGCTATACGTGCAGTGGTTACAAGCCGCAGTCGTGAGTTCCTGTCGCAACAAATTAATCGCCATGGCGATGGTGAATTTGCAGCACCTGCCCGGCCTCCGCGTCTGTTGTAATTTATGTACGCGCGGCCGGGAACATCGGATGCTCGTAGTTCAGATGCCTCGTTGAGCGCTTCGATTTCTGAAACAAACGCCGTGTTCGAAGGTAAACTCTCGGTTGTCGTTTGAAACCCGACTTAAATTATCCTTAATTGAGCTCAATTGTGAAAGTTTGTCCAGAAAACATTTTGTCTCAATCCTTAATTGAAATTATGTTTTTAACGATATATCTTGTTTGTAGCGTGGAAGTCGCTGAAACGCGGTTTGAGGACGTACTGTTGAAATCACTTTCGATGTGGCGAGCTTTTGTGAGTGCGGCGATGCATTTGTCGTCATGTAGCATTGAAATTCCTTACAGGATGCAAAGCGTATCTGTTGGGCTATTTGGTTTTCCTGTACACGTAACTCAGTTGAGAAAGCGTCGTTGAATAAACCAATAAGCACGAATCAAGTGGACGTACACAAATTTTATTCAAGTGATGCGAAAAATTGGGGTGGAGTGTCAAGTTTCGTGTGAAGGCGGTGGTCTCAGCCCCGTTCTGTTGCCATCACAGCTTCGTTTGCTGTTGAACAGGTTTAGGTTAGATCTGAACCCAGGCCTGTAGACTGCGAGTCAGGATCTCTGTTGCTGTCTACAGCAAGATCTGGGACGCGGGATGAATTTTATCGTGTGAGGTCTGAAGTTTTGATGACGGTGGCGCAAAACAAGCGCGAAGCATGTGGACGAAGGCTCTGCTGCTGCCTGCCTCGATAGCCCCTGAGCGGCTAGATTATGATTAAATTGCCAGTGTAACGTAGGCGTTCTTTGCAGACTGCAGTTCAGTTTCGGTGAGTTGACGGCCGAGTGGAGAGTTTGTTGTTTGCTTTCACGAATTAATCGAAGTAACTGAATCAGGATGTGGGGTTTAATTTCAGCGTGTTTTGTTTTGAGATGCGTTGCCTAGGAGACTGAAGTAATGGCGATATCTTTGCTTGAAATAACGATAGCTTCTTCTGTTCTACTTCTGTGAACGCGGCAGAAATTTCCGTCACAAGGAAACGAAGTACACTCGCCGCGTCTTCCTGAAATAACTTGACTGTTGATTTATATAAAGACTTCTTCTAGTCCTCCATTGTCTGTTGTCTGTGAGACGTTTGGCTGCCTGTCGATCTGTGCACGTCGAAGAGGGCCCTTTTCTTACGCACATCAGACGGTACTTTACACGTAGGGAATGGAGAACATTACACGAATGCGAGTTTCATTATTTATAATCTCACCCACGCAAAAAACCTTCACATTTTTTCCACGTCAAATTGATCGATCGTGCATTCTTTAACCGTCGTAGTTCGTGGCAGTAAGAATTTGTTGTCGACGGGTTGGCACTCGTGCTCTGTACTCGGGAGGTCTGAGGTTCAAATCTCGACCCGGAGATCGGCTAGTGGTTTTCCTCAGTTCCTCCGCGCAAGTGACAGTTCAGTGCCTTAACTTACGCCTTCAATATCCTTTCTAGTTCGTCATTCGACGCTGTGAAGCCTCGACTACTGACATCCTCGTTAAGAACTAGGATAAATGTGGATTGGATCGAGGAAAATTACTTTTAAGGATGTTGGTGCAGCTAAAGACAGTGGCATTATTTGAGCCCATGATGCATTGTGCGAGTCTGGTGATGATGATGATGATCTGAAAATGACGGCTGAGTCATGCAGTCAGCCCTTTTCATGCGGAGTTGTGTTTCTCTGCAGCAGAGAACTGATCCGATTGTCTCATGTGTGTTAATGCGCTCACAAACTTGAGAAATGTTTTCGTCCCTTGAAGTTTCGAAGTAGTTCTGACACGTGTAAGCAACAAAACTTCCTCGAAGTAGATGATGAAATTTCCCTCGCGTAATTCTGAAGGGAATTTCAGTGCACATGTAGCTTTATATTTTAGTACTCGTTATTATCGCTAGGAGCAGCACCGTACCGAATTTGCACATGCTTAGTGCGGTGGTTGGAGTAAATTGGCAATTTTGTGGGAACGAACCTGCCCTACCATCACCTCATTGCCGCCAGACACATACGTCACGGAAGACGCAAACGCACGTGCCGAGGTTACGGAGCACGGTTTCATTAAAGATTTACGATGCACTTTATTTGTGTGCCGGGTCGGGGGGGGGGTGTCCCCCCCGCGCAATCTGCAATTGCGTTTGAATCTGCCTTAGGGAGGTGCAGGACTGCCCTAATTTTTTTAAAGCCCAAGCTTGCCTAAGTATTATTTAATGATTTAGTCCGTACCGCAAAGAAAACACTACTCTTCACCTTTACGAATATCAACTGGTTTACGTAACCCATAAATACAGTCTGTGGGAGATATTCAGAATTACTGATTTTTAAAACAGGTGGTACATATAATTACCGCTGGACTTCACAGGATGTATACCATCGCACAAACTATTTTTACATAACAATCCCAACATATTTCTTGACAATTTCATACATGTTGAGGTGATTCACGTTATCCGTTCAAGTTATTTAAAGCACAACAAACATTTTTTTGTCATGAAATTTTTAATACGTCAAAATATATTTGTATACATGATTTCTATAGTTATCGGATGTTTTTTTTTGCATTCTTTATTTCTACGGTTGATTTTGGTTCGTACATTTTCAGTTAGTAGGAAGAAACGAACAGAAACACACCAGACACTACTGACTATTGACTTTCGAATGACCTTGAAACATTAAAAGGCCCCTATCCGACAAACCCTGGGACTGATACTGTCGTGACCTTGACATGAGGTTCACCTATCCGTGACCTCAAACTGACACGAGTATTTTCTTGCATATTCCCACAGATCGGCGGAAATATGCGTTTGAAAAAAATTACCTTTGAATGACCTTGAAAAATTAAAAGGCCCCTATCCGGCAAACCCCGGGACGTATATTGTTGAAGCTCGGAAGCCGTTCAGAATAGGACACATGTAAATATACACTTTTTTGCTTAGAATGACCTATACTATGACCTCCCAGAATATTGAACTTTTTCCTGGGACACTCTGTATGTTATATAATATAACTGTAATTCTGTATTGAGGCGTTCTGGGTACGGGATAACGTGACTTTTAGGGCTAGTTTCCCCAGTAACGCCGTGCGTGTCCTCATTGACTCTTTCATTTCCTTTGTCTAAGCCCCATGCCCGCGGAAAACCCCTTTTCGGTGGTTCGCGACTGCTGCGCACCATAACCATAACCAGACTTCTTCATCCCCTGGCTGCCTCAGAAACAGCCAAATCTACTGTCTGCCGTCACTGCCAGGTCGTCCTCGCGTATTTAATTTATTCTACATTGAAATAGTGGAAACGCCGTGACGCGTCGACCACTTCTCCGACACCGGAGTGCTGCGGGCAACATATATACTAGTGTCAGGCGTAACCCGCTTTTCATTCAAAGAGCTCGTCGCTAAACGAGCGAGAATTGGACACTGTGAGGCGACGCTGTCTCTACCAGCTGCCAGACGGCAGAGACACGGTAAACACCCTCCGAAATGCGAAGAGAATAAATTTAATCCGATCGAGTTTCGAAGCGTCGCTGCTGTTCATTTCGGATTCTTGTATCGCTTCACGTCATCTCCTTTGGAAATGCGATTAAAGACGACTGATTTACTCATCGCCCTGATGATGGAGGCAGTATGACCTCTGAAACGTCGGTAAACTTCTACCAGACTACACGAC